GGAGATCCTCCCAGCTGCAATGAATGTAATAAAAATAATAAAACCTACAACTCAGTCTACAAATTCTTAATACAGTGGTGCCTGACAAACAGAGCATGTGGGACAGTGCAGAAATGGGGATAAAGCATTGTCAGAGAGAGAAACCATATCAACAGTGTAATCATTGACTTATTTATGTATTTTGAGCTGTCATTTTATTTTATTCTCATTTATGACTTTCGTGTCTGAGCACTGTTGAATCTTTTAAATCCATTAACTGTAACTTCAGAGACTCTAATATTTTAATCTTAGCCTCAAACCCTCCACACAGTGAACCACTGCCCTAAATCCTGGGGCAACAGGCCCAATCTTGTGAGGTAGAGGACCCTTTCCAACTAAGCTGTGTCAAAACTCTACCTGTCACTCTGACATCTTTGGGAGTTAAAAATAATAAAAACCTTCTGGGATCAGCAGATGGCGTAATGGTTACATTGCTGGACTCCCATGTAGTCAACTGTGATTCAAGTCCTGGACCTGAAACTCATGCTGGGTATTTGTGTGTGTGTGTGTGTGTGTGTGTGTGTGTGTGTGTGTGTGTGTGTGTGTGTGTGTGTGTGTGTGTGTGTGTGTGTGTGCCCAAAGTCCCAAGAGGAGAATGGAGGAGAAAATGGAGGAGGAGGGATTGTGGCATGGCCATACTCCCCCAGGGGGGTTGATTTCTCGCTTTTTGCACCTCTGTCTCTTTCTGTCTCTGGCAAGCACATGTGCCCTATAGCAAAAATCTCTCTTAAAAAAAAAAAAAAAAAAAGAATAGAAACCTTCATCCCTGCTCTGATGAGGAGATTGCTGTGCTCATAACTGAGGATGCAAAGTCCAGAGAAATAAACAGATACAGTAGATAAAGATACAAAGAGTTCCTTGCTTCTATAATACAATGACAAACCCAATAACCAATCTCCTTTAGGGCTTAGTAACATTTGGCAAGGAAATCTACTTGACACTTATGGGCTAGGTTGTCTAATTATTCATTTCCTCAACAGTTCTGCCATTTACTAGCTAAGTGAACACAAGACAAGTAATTTGCCTTCTCTGAAACTTAACCTCTATCTTTGCAAAAAAGGAGAAAATTAAAATACCTCCCCCATGTGTTTATTGCAAAGATTAAAGAAGATCACATTTTTTTTAAGGTTTTTGCCATGGGGCATGACTTGCTGGAGAGAGACAGAAAGAGAGAAGGAGAGTGAGAAATCAACTCCTCAAAGAGATGGCCACACCACAATTCTTTCTCCTCTTGGGATTTTGGGCATGGACACACACATGCCCAATGTGATTTTCAAGCCACCAGATGTAGACTCAAACTGCAGTTAGCCTTGTGGGAGTCCAGCACCTTAACCACTGCTGGCCTCAAGAAGATAACTTATTTGAAAGAACAGAACACAGTGGTACAAATGGTGAATATTCAATAAATATTATTTCCTTCTTTTACATGCCATTTTTTCCTTAAGAAATTTAAACCTGGTATATGTTGTTTTAAATCACTTCAGGGGACCAGCAGGTGTCATAAAGACTATATCACTTCATTCCCACGTAGGATACTGCAGTTCACGTTCCAGGCCTACAGGCTTAAAACTCACTCCAGGCTTGTGCATATGCATTTCCAAGACCCCAAGAGGAGAGTGGAAGAGAAAGTTGTGCAGTGTGGCGCCAACCCCTCTGGGGATGATTTCTCATTTCCTGTCTCTTTCTTGAGCACATGTGCCCTATAGTGAACTCTCAAAAAAAAAAAAAAAAAAAGAAGAAAGAAAGAAAAATCACTTCAGAAATTCTATGGAGACCACATATAAATGGAAACACAGAGGTGAGTCGGAGGCTACTGATGTCTAAATGGTAGATTAAAATGGCTCTGTCTCAGAGAATGGCAATAGAAAAAAAAGGATAATTAAGTTTGGAATGTGTTTTAAAGGTAAAGTCTGTTTGTTAGTTAAGGGAGCCAGATCACACATGACTGACCTAGTGGCTTGAGTCCCGGCCTTCGTGGCTTAAAAAACACACCAAGCACATGTGTGTGTGCCCCAAATCCCAACAAGATGGAGAAATAGAGGAGAAGGGAGTGTAGATGACCATACGCCACTGAAGGGGTGCTCCCTATCTTTCTCTGGCAAGTGTACATGCTCTCAGGAAATAAAAAATAAATAAATAAAAAATAAAAAGTAGAGAAAGGTAGAGTTGAAAGTACTCACTGTGAAGCACAAGGAGAAAAAATTATGCTTGTTAAAATTTTTATTTAGCTGGCCAGCTTGTGGTGTGGTAGCTAGGTAGGTGGATCCTTGATGGTACATTGTGTGTTTGAGTCCTAGACCTGGAGGTTTGAGAAACAGACCAGTTACATGTGTGCGTGTGCCCAAAATCCTGAAAGGAAGGAGTGAAGGAGGAGCTTATTTTATTCCAAAGGGGATTGATCCATCAATGCCAATTTGATAGGTATGGTCCAATAGAACAGTTTGTGATTATGGAAAGAGTCTACGTAAGTACTATTCAATATGGTGGCCACTAGCCACATATGCCTACTGAGCACTTAAAGTGTGGCTAGTAAATGAGAAAATGAATTTATTTATTTTTAATTTAATTTTAGATAGCTTCTATATTGGAGAGTGTAGGTTAGGTAATATATAGCCGAGATGTTTCCCCCATAAATCTTCTCAAATTTTATAGACACAACAATTTACGGAACCTATTTGCTTCCATATACACTTATAATCTCATCCGATCTTAACTGCCCAGTCAGTTTATGTTAATTAAGCTAAAATCTGGAGGGTAGGGGGATGATCAAGATTCTTCCTCCTATTTCTATTAATCCCAATATTACAACATTAATGAGTAACTTGTTTTGAGCAATTGTAAACATTACAAAAATTACATCTTTACATGTTTTAATTAAGTTGGAATACTGCTCCTCTGCCTAATTTATGTAAAATCAATTGCTGCAGTAAGTACATATCATGTTACTTGACCATAACTGCTATTAGAGAAATGATGAATTTCAGAAGGAAGGCTATGACCTAAACAAACTGGTAATAATCGGTGTACAGCCCAAGAACTGACGTTGTCTTCATGCCTCAGGTACTTAGCAGGGATCTCAAGGTTGACTCAATTTTTTTCTGCCTCCTTATATTTTGTGCACAATAGGAATATTTTCAACCAAAGATGCCTTTTTCACCTTTCTTCCTTTGTGTTCTCATGTTTCTCAGGCAAGCTCCAATTGTCAATCTGCCATCAGAGTCCATAGACATGTCAGCAATGTGTTCAAAACCAAACCTAACATCTTCGCTGCAGTAAGGAAAGAGTTCAGGGTCTGACCGTGGCATCTGAACTTCGTTCAGATTCCCCTAGAGCGCATCTTTTGGCTTTCTCTGGCCAGCATCACTTCGTCACTTTTTTCTTGATAACTGCAACTCTTGTCCCCCAAAGACAATTCCCCACTACTTGTGATTTTACTGAGACACTCATCATCTCCCAACCACAGTCATTGGCCTAGGACTATACACAGTGCTTATCCCAAAGTGAAATCTGAGTTCTTACCTGAGATTTCACCTGTATTCTGTAAGCAAGGAGACCTCACTTTCTTTGCAGAAGCTAAACTAGGATGCTATAAACCATCTGTAATTAAGCCCTGACACCTGTGAACCACTGTTGAGAATCCACGGTTTCACAGCAGTTTCTCAAACTCAGCATTGGGGCCAGATAATTCTTTGTGTGGGGGACTGTCCTGTGTATTGCAAGATATTTAGACAAGTCCCTGGCCTCTACCTATCAGGTTCCTGAACCATACTTCTAATTGTAATCCCCTAAAATATGTCCAGCCATGCCCAAATATTCCCTCTGGGGACAAAATTGCTTCCAATTGAAAACCAGAGGCTTTTTTTCTTTATTCTAGAGTAATAACTACAGCTTAGACTGGTCCATGTCTAAATCATGATAGATAAGCATACAAAATATGGTAGCATGTATAAATGACAATGTGACACAGACTAACATCTGAAAGTTTATAGTGTACACAGCACTTTCACATACGGACTCTTTGTTCATCAGTCATCCCCATTCTCAGATCTGTGATAAGGAGACTGGTTCACAGATTCGATTCGATCACTGTCACAGGTCACTGTCTGGTAGGTGGCAGAGCTCAAACTCAAACCAGGACCTTTGATTTTGTTAGATAAAAAGAATTATCTTACTAAATGAGTTATTGAGAGGATATTTCTAGCCTTCAACAGTATCATTGCTCTTGGAACAAAGTCAATCTTAGCTAAGAAATAATAGATATAGGAATATTTAATAGGTTATCCAATATGAAAAAGTGTGTTGTGTATCTAAGATTACGGTAAGCCTATCCATAGATGTTAGTATAAGTTATAATATGAGGTATTATTTGGAAATAAAAGTCTTGGGCCAGCAAGTGGCAGGGCAGTTAAGGTACTGGTCAACTGGTACATGGTTGACCAAGGTTCAAGTTCTGGACCTGGCAGCTTGAAAATCATGGTAGATGCATGTGCATATGTGCCCCAAATTCCAAGAGGAGAAGGGGGAGAAGGTGGTATGTCATGGTCATATGGTCATCCTCTCCAGTGGGTGGTTTTTGTACTTTCCCTCGCACTACCTTCCCCCGCCCAGGCTAGTTCAAGACCCCTATGGCAAAAACCTTAGAAAAAAAAATCTTGTGATAGTCACTACATGCCTTAGTCACAGATGTCAGGGAGATGTGTACTCAAATCAGAGAAGCAAAAACTAGCACAATTAAACAACTTCAGAAACAGTCTGGTTCCTCTAAACTGAACCCATGGTGAGAAAGTGAAATCAGAATCCTCTAGTCAGTGCCCAATGAGGGGGGAGAACACTTAGAACACAATGGAGCCATCACCTGCTCACACCCAGGTTCCTGCAAAATGAAGTGCTGCCCAACCAGCCTTCAGCGCCTACAGAGCAGTGTGCAGACAGCCCTGGGACCTCAGCACTTCCAGAAAGTGGATGGAATACTCCCGCAGAGGGGAGCTGGGGATTTCCACAAGCTCAGTAATAGCCGTTGGCTTCTCAATGGGCATCCATTCACCAGTAGACAGCTTGCTGACCTTTGGACGGTCCTTCAGCATAGCCAAACCTGTCACAGAGCACAAAACTGAAATGTTACACAAAGATCAAGGCAAAATCAATGTCATAATGAGACAAATGACCCCACACAAACCTTCCAATGTCAGTTCGTTTTTCCCTTCTGAGAAGAATTTGAAACCTCTTGCCTCATCTTTAGTGAGGGATGTTAATGAGCCTATAAACTGGAGTTTAAATCTGGAAACATTTCTAATCAGGGGAAAGTGCACTGGGCTTGCAGTCAAGCGTGGGTTCTGGTCCTAGATGTTCAATGGAGAAAGCACTCAGGATTGGGTTTCAGTTTTCCCTACAAAACAAAAACAGCTGATTATAGGAACTAGGATTTCTGCCACTTCAAGTATTATACCAGCATTGAGGCCAACAGCTAGGGTGGTGATTAAGGCGCTGGACTCCGACATGGTCGACCACGGTTGTGTCCTGGACCTGGCAGCTTACTTTCTCGCTTTCTCTTTCTCACTGTCTCTCTGGTGAGCACACATACCCTATAGCAAATTAAAAACAAAATAATAATAAATAAAATTAAATCAATAATTTTTTAAACAGGTTTTTGTCATAGGGTACTTGTGCTCGCTGGAGAGACAGAGAGAGACAGAGAGACAGAAAGTGAGAAATCACCACCCAGGGAGGATGACCATGCTGCAATCCCTTCTCCTCTGATCTCCTCCTTGGATTTTGGGCAAACACACGTGCCTGGTGTGATATTTAAGCCGCTGGGTCTGGGACTCAAACCATGGTCGACCATATGGGAGTCCAGTGACATAACCATTACGTCATCTGCTGGTCCCTAAATAAAGAATTCCTAAAAACAAAAAAAAAGATACTGACATCTTAAACTTACACTTAATAGACTACTGGAAGACACCATGCATAATGTTACAGAAATTGGAATTTGGAGTCATTCAGACCCAGCTCAAAATCCCAGCTCTGCTGTATTCTAGCAGGATCGTGTTGGGCAATTTCCCTAAGCCTCTTTATCTACAATTTCTTCATCTTTTAAAACAGAGGTAATAACAATAGTACCCAACTCAAAGAACTATTGTGAATAGTAAATGGAATTAGATATATAAAATAATTAGCATACAGTCTATGGAACATAGGAAGTACTCAATAGACAGTAGTTGTTATTATATATTTCTGAAATTGGCACTCAAGAGAATAAAATTGAATATTTTTGGTTAAAATATATACCTCATAACATAATAGAAGGAATCAGGGCCACTTAAAAACTGAATGGCTAAGAAACATAAGTTATATTCTATTAAAAAAAAAAAACACCCCTCAGAACTGGAGTAAGGCAGTCTTTCAGAGAGAATACAGACCATTAGTCATATTTTCTGTATGATACAAATTGGTACATAATTAGACATAGAAGGTCCCTGAATACATAACACCATTTTGAAATCACTGTTTTCTGCAAATTGGTTAGGGATAAGGAAATTGTGAATGAAGGAAAGAAGGCATAGGGGTGTGCTGCCCCCTACTGGACCCATGTGGTTACTGAGTGCTAGAAATGTGGCCAGGTGGAATTGAAACGTGCTTTCAGTGTAAAACGCACACCAGACTTCAAAAACTTAATGGTATTTAAAAAAATAATTTAAACTATTCATTAATATTTTACATTTATTATGGACTAAAATAATAAAAATCAGATAAATGAGTGGAATATAATTAAAAATTCATTTACCTTACTTTTTACTATTTTAATGTGACTACTAACATTTTAAAAATTATACATGCAGCTTACATTGTACTTCTGTTGGGCAGTGTTCTTATAGAAAGAGAGAAGAGAGCCAACAGACAGCACGATGTTAAGGCTGCTGGATCCCATGCGGTTAAATGTACAGTTCAAATCCCAAACCTCACGGCTTGAAAAACATGCCAGGCACATGTGTGTCTATGCCCCAAATCCCAAGAATGGAAGAGAAGAGACTGGGGCATGGCCATCATCCCTTGAGGATGCTTTCTCACTCTCACTCTCTCTGTGTCTGTGTGTGTGTCTTTCCAGTGAGTGCATGTGCAAAAAATATTTTTAAAAGAAAAGAAAGAGAAGAATACAGACACACACACACACACACACACACAAAAGGATGGGGGAGGGAGACAGGGCTGTTGCAAGTTCCAAAAACATCAGTTCATGAGGTGCACACTTGATGATCTGGGTAGAGAGGGGAAGTCATCAAAACTGATTTTTGGCTAAAATAAACTACATTTCCTGTGCTTTTTACATCATTTCACATTGTAACTTTTGATAGAGGAAAAAAAGAGAAGTGCTTTCCCCAGTCTTTTCATTGGACACCTTTTAAAATCTGATATAACATTGTGTTGTTTTTTTTAAGTAAACAGTTGAAGCCATGAAAAAACAAGGAAAGTGCACCCTCTGCAGGCTATTTAGTAATACTTTGAAAGCCGAAGAGGCACTGTGAAGTTGAGAAAAAATAAGGTAGAATGAATAAACGAATACATTCCATTTCCCATTACTGCATTGACTGCTTTCACCACTGACTCAATAATAATGAAAACAAAGGCCAGGAAATAGATCTGACAGTGTGGACACTGTTATTTGGTCATGTCAACCCTTCCAAACTTTGCCACTTCTTCCCTCCCGCCCTTCCTTCCTTCGCTCTGTCTTGTCATCTTTCTTTCCATCTTTTTCTTTCTTTCACTCATTGACTATCTTGGACTCATGTTTTTTGTAAGTCCTGTGTAAAAGCAGAAGGTGTAAGATCAAACTCGGATTTTCTGCTGCTTATTTCTAGACAACTTTTTCATGAGGCTAACACTTCATTTATGTGTCTAAGTACTACCTAGAAGACAGGTGAAGAACTAATAAGGCTATGAATATTCACCAGGTACAAAATTAATGGTATTAAGTGTGTGGAATTTTTTTTATATAGATTTTTGCTATCGAGTACATGTGCTCACTGAGAGATAGAGGCAGAAAGCAAGAATGGCCACCCCACAAGCCCTTCTCCTCCATTCTCCTCTCAGGATCTTGGGCATGCACGCACATGTGCCTGGCATGAGTTTTAAGCTGCCAGGTCCAGGACTCAGACAGTAGTCTACCAACGTGAGAGTCCAGCAACATAACCATTACGCCATCTGCTGGTCCCTAAATATGTGATTATAGTTATCTTCCCAAAGACAGCTTATATGTTGGTTGTATAGAATTAGAAATCTCTTTATTACTTTTCCCTGACCAGTTTACAATTGTGTGTGTGTGTGTGTGTGTGTGTATATATATATATTAACCCACATGAATTTGAGATAACATCATTTGCTCTACACTTTCAAACAGTTATTTGCAATAGTTTTGTTTTTTAATTTTTGCTATATAGTATATGAGCTCACTCAGGCACATGTGTGTCTATGCCCCAAATCCCAAGAATGGAAGAGAAGAGACTGGGGCATGGCCATCATCCCTTGAGGATGCTTTCTCACTCTCACTCTCTCTGTGTCTGTGTGTGTGTCTTTCCAGTGAGTGCATGTGCAAAAAATATTTTTAAAAGAAAAGAAAGAGAAGAATACAGACACACACACACACACACACACACAAAAGGATGGGGGAGGGAGACAGGGCTGTTGCAAGTTCCAAAAACATCAGTTCATGAGGTGCACACTTGATGATCTGGGTAGAGAGGGGAAGTCATCAAAACTGATTTTTGGCTAAAATAAACTACATTTCCTGTGCTTTTTACATCATTTCACATTGTAACTTTTGATAGAGGAAAAAAAGAGAAGTGCTTTCCCCAGTCTTTTCATTGGACACCTTTTAAAATCTGATATAACATTGTGTTGTTTTTTTTAAGTAAACAGTTGAAGCCATGAAAAAACAAGGAAAGTGCACCCTCTGCAGGCTATTTAGTAATACTTTGAAAGCCGAAGAGGCACTGTGAAGTTGAGAAAAAATAAGGTAGAATGAATAAACGAATACATTCCATTTCCCATTACTGCATTGACTGCTTTCACCACTGACTCAATAATAATGAAAACAAAGGCCAGGAAATAGATCTGACAGTGTGGACACTGTTATTTGGTCATGTCAACCCTTCCAAACTTTGCCACTTCTTCCCTCCCGCCCTTCCTTCCTTCGCTCTGTCTTGTCATCTTTCTTTCCATCTTTTTCTTTCTTTCACTCATTGACTATCTTGGACTCATGTTTTTTGTAAGTCCTGTGTAAAAGCAGAAGGTGTAAGATCAAACTCGGATTTTCTGCTGCTTATTTCTAGACAACTTTTTCATGAGGCTAACACTTCATTTATGTGTCTAAGTACTACCTAGAAGACAGGTGAAGAACTAATAAGGCTATGAATATTCACCAGGTACAAAATTAATGGTATTAAGTGTGTGGAATTTTTTTTATATAGATTTTTGCTATCGAGTACATGTGCTCACTGAGAGATAGAGGCAGAAAGCAAGAATGGCCACCCCACAAGCCCTTCTCCTCCATTCTCCTCTCAGGATCTTGGGCATGCACGCACATGTGCCTGGCATGAGTTTTAAGCTGCCAGGTCCAGGACTCAGACAGTAGTCTACCAACGTGAGAGTCCAGCAACATAACCATTACGCCATCTGCTGGTCCCTAAATATGTGATTATAGTTATCTTCCCAAAGACAGCTTATATGTTGGTTGTATAGAATTAGAAATCTCTTTATTACTTTTACAAAAGGATGGGGGAGGGAGACAGGGCTGTTGCAAGTTCCAAAAACATCAGTTCATGAGGTGCACACTTGATGATCTGGGTAGAGAGGGGAAGTCATCAAAACTGATTTTTGGCTAAAATAAACTACATTTCCTGTGCTTTTTACATCATTTCACATTGTAACTTTTGATAGAGGAAAAAAAGAGAAGTGCTTTCCCCAGTCTTTTCATTGGACACCTTTTAAAATCTGATATAACATTGTGTTGTTTTTTTTAAGTAAACAGTTGAAGCCATGAAAAAACAAGGAAAGTGCACCCTCTGCAGGCTATTTAGTAATACTTTGAAAGCCGAAGAGGCACTGTGAAGTTGAGAAAAAATAAGGTAGAATGAATAAACGAATACATTCCATTTCCCATTACTGCATTGACTGCTTTCTCAACTGTCTCAATAATAATGAAAACAAAGGCCAGGAAATAGATCTGACAGTGTGGACACTGTTATTTGGTCATGTCAACCCTTCCAAACTTTGCCACTTCTTCCCTCCCGCCCTTCCTTCCTTCGCTCTGTCTTGTCATCTTTCTTTCCATCTTTTTCTTTCTTTCACTCATTGACTATCTTGGACTCATGTTTTTTGTAAGTCCTGTGTAAAAGCAGAAGGTGTAAGATCAAACTCGGATTTTCTGCTGCTTATTTCTAGACAACTTTTTCATGAGGCTAACACTTCATTTATGTGTCTAAGTACTACCTAGAAGACAGGTGAAGAACTAATAAGGCTATGAATATTCACCAGGTACAAAATTAATGGTATTAAGTGTGTGGAATTTTTTTTATATAGATTTTTGCTATCGAGTACATGTGCTCACTGAGAGATAGAGGCAGAAAGCAAGAATGGCCACCCCACAAGCCCTTCTCCTCCATTCTCCTCTCAGGATCTTGGGCATGCACGCACATGTGCCTGGCATGAGTTTTAAGCTGCCAGGTCCAGGACTCAGACAGTAGTCTACCAACGTGAGAGTCCAGCAACATAACCATTACGCCATCTGCTGGTCCCTAAATATGTGATTATAGTTATCTTCCCAAAGACAGCTTATATGTTGGTTGTATAGAATTAGAAATCTCTTTATTACTTTTCCCTGACCAGTTTACAATTGTGTGTGTGTGTGTGTGTGTGTATATATATATATTAACCCACATGAATTTGAGATAACATCATTTGCTCTACACTTTCAAACAGTTATTTGCAATAGTTTTGTTTTTTAATTTTTGCTATATAGTATATGAGCTCACTGGAGACAGAGATAGAGAATGTGAGAAAGTACTCGGGGTGGGGGGGAATGACCACACCTCAATTCTTTCTCCTCTGTACTCCTCTGCATTTGGGCATGCATGTAACATGTACCTGGCATGTTTCACAAGCCTTAGGATCTGGGAATCAAACTGCACAGTCAGTCATGTGGGGTCCAGCCACCTTAACCACCATGCCATCTACTGTACTTGTAATGGTATTTTTAATAATTAAATTATATAACTATTTGGCCATCAGAAAAGTCATGATGATGTATTTTTACATAGAAAAATAAGTCATGACTTTTCAGACCACTTAATAATTAGTACAGTCTCTGGAATGTGGAAAGTACTCAGATGGTAGTTGTTCTTAAATATTTTTTAAATGTATGCTCAGGAAATAAAATAGAAGATTTTGGGACCAGCAGTTAGTATAATGGCTATGTCGTTGGACTCCCATGTAGTCAACCATGGTTCGAGTCCTGGACCCGGTGGCTTAAACTCACACCGGGCACGTGTACGTGCGTGCCCAAGATCCCTAGAGAAGAATGGAGGAGAAGGGATTGCGGCGTGGCCATCCCCCCTGGGAGGTAATTTCTCGCTTTCTGTCTCTCTGATGAGCACACGCACCCTATAGCAAAAAAAAAAAAAAGATTTTAAAATTAACATCTATCCCTCATATCATAAAAATTGAATGACTAAAAAATATTATTTACATTCTACGAAAATGATCTCAGAACTGGTAGAAGAAAGTCTCTCAGAAGGAACACAAGCTATTTTCATGTTTCCTGCATGATCCAAATTGGCACACTGCAAAAGATAGATGTAACCGCGCCCCCTCGGCCCTCAGAAGCCCCTCCCTTCCTCAGGTAATACAAGCAACCTTCCCCCAGCTTCCTGATTTAAAGAGAAGTATATCTGGAAGATCTTTGCCATTATGCCAACATCAAGACCTTGTTAGCTCCTTCTGTTGCAATAAAGGAAAGTCAGCTCACTAGATCAGTCATGCCCCAAGGTTTAAGAACTGGAGAACAAAAGAAAGTTCACATCATAGAAGTAGAGAGAGCAAGACCACAAAATGTGGACCCTTCTTACATTCTTCAACACGCACGCACACACACACACACACACACACACACACACTTCCTCGTGTTACCAAAACTATTTCGTGCCTTGGTCACTTGCAGGCTAAGATTGACCATAATAATAATAACTGGGCTTCGGTAGCCTCAAGAAATACAACACTAGTGCTATGGAATGTTTCCCCTATTAGCATTTTTATTATTTGCCGCATAATTTATTTTAAAAACCTATTTTATTTCCTTTTAACCTATTAAATAAAACCAGCATGGTTAAATTAAACCGGTAGGTGAAACAACTTAGAGCTTATGGGTGGGAGTTTGGGAAAACCTAGAAATTATATTAATTCCTTACACATAATTCAAAACATAAGGAAACGGAATGCAAGCCTGCAAATGTGTGTTGTTTTTGTCAAATATAGATTATATATTTTGAAACAAATATTCTCAGCAAAATACAATAAAAAGTAATAGCATTTATTATTTGCCTTTTCTTATGCTTGCATTTAAACTTCTTGATCAACATTATTTACAATAGCCTAAACTGTGTGTTTATGTAAGCTCAACTTCTCAAAGCTAAACCACTGGGGAAAAAATAAAATCATCTATCTTGATCAGAACTGTGAGAACATAAGTGAAATGTTTTTGTAGTTCTGCTTTTTCCTTAGTGCACAGATGTAAAATTCAGCATTTTTGAGAAATACAGTCACTAGCGGTTCCGTGAAAATGAAAAAGTTCTTACCCACAGTTAACTTACTCAGCAGATAAAAAAAAAAACAAAAACACAACCAGAACTCCCCTTTTAGGCAGTTAAGTTTTGTTTTAAGCTATTACCTTTACATGATTCCATATGCAATGTACAGAGCTCTGTCCACCAGTGTTTAATAAATGGTAGTGAAGAAACTGAGCATTGGGAGCACCACACAGCACAGTGATTAAGTACTGTGTATAAAAAGCCAGGTCCCATGTAGCCAACCACAGTTCAAGTCCCAGCCCTGGCAGTTTGAAAATCATGCCAGAGGTGTGTGTATGCATGCCCCAAATCCTGACGAGATAGCGAAATGGAGAAAAAAGGATTGGGTGTGACCATGCCCCATGAGGGAGTGCCCCCCATACCCTCTGGTGAGTGCCCATATTAAAAAAAGAGCAAGAGTTTTGGAATTAACCTTGGGTAAATGCTAAGTCTTCACAGCATAGACTGTTTAGGAGCTGTCTGGCCCAAGACAGGTATCTTAACCTCTCTGCACTTCAGCTGCTCATCCAAAAGCTGGGGTTCATTACTTTATTGACTACCTACTATGAGCCAAGCACTGTTCTAAGAGCTGGGGACGTAATAATGAATATGTTTAGCCCAATTGGTGGGGATGAACTTTCAAAAGTTAATTAGAAGGGACCAGCATATGGTGTAGCGGTTACATTGCTGGACTCCCACATAGTCAACTGCGGTTGGAATCCTAGACTTAATGGCTTAAAACCTACATCAGGCACATGCGCATGTGTGCTGCCTAAAATCCTGAGAGAGAATAAAGGAGGACTGTGGCATGGCCATCCCCCCAGGGGGTGATTTCTCACTTTCTGTCTGTCTCTCTGGTAAGCACATGCTCCCTATAGTGAAAATCTCTCAAAAACTTTTTAATCAATTAATTGATTGAGTGATTTAATTAAAGATTTCAAGAAGTGGGACCAGCAGATGGCACAATGGTTATGTTGTTGGACTCCCACACGGCCAATTGTAGTTCGAGTCCCAGACCTGGTGGCTTGAAACCAATGCTGGGCATGTGTGTGTGCATGCCCAAGATCCCAAGAGGAGAATGGAGGCGACGGGATTGTGGGATGGCCATCCCCCCAGGGGTGATTTCTTGCTTCTGTCTTTCTTTGTCTCTCCAGTGAGCACACACGCCCTACAGCAAAAATCTCTCAAAAATTTTTTTCAAGGGGTAGTAAGTATTAAGATGAAAATAAAATAGTATTAAGATAAAAATACAATGGTCCCTAGATGATAATCACAGAGATATCATCACACCATTATAAGATATTGAGATATAAAGATATCAAGGAGGTTCTTCAATGGGGTTCTTGGGAACCATGTCTGGGGAGGTGAGATTTAATCTTGGACCTGACTGACAAAAAGGAGTCATCTGTGCTAAGGTCTGAGAGAGGAGAGGTCCAGGCAGGAAGAACAGCTTGTGCAAAAACCTTGCCGAGAGAATGAGCCTGGCACATCCCAAGAGCAAAAACAGAAAAAATAAATCATCTATCTTGATCAGAACTGTGGGAATATAAGTGTGTGGCTGTGACGCGAGAGGAAAAGCACCAGGACAGGAAGTAAGCAGAAGCTAGTTTATGCTGAACTTTAGAGAGCGTGGTACAGAATTGGATTTTTATTTCAGTGCAATGCAAAGGCCTTAGAGGGTTTTCATCAGGGTGGTTGTGAAGCTTAAACGACACAGCACACATGGAGCACTCCACACAAGGTGTGCAGAGTGAGCACTTGGCAAAGGCGATGTCATCATCATCATTATACTACACATCCCTGACATTTAATTCTGTGAAGTCCCAAAATACTTATTCTTATAAAATTCAGGGTCAACTTTTCGTAAAATTACCACAGTAAGAACGGGGCCTGAGCAGAGGACGAGAATCAATTGCCAGTCATCATCTGGCTAAAGTTTCATTAATATGGGTCATGCTCTATTGTATTGTATTTCTAATCACCATCATTTTCACCATCATTACCATCAACAAAGCTGAAGTCAAATCTTAGGCTAACACAAGTGAAACAGCAACTTGCCTATGGCAAAATCAATCTGAAGGAGCAATACTAACTGTTGCAGTCCCTAGACGATAATATTAATATTCCCTTATTTCCCCTAGAGCATCACCAGGTAGGTAGGACTTCCTATTTTTCAAGGTTGGGTGAGAATCCTTTTCACCCATTTCCCAGAGCTAGTGGGCAGCAAACATTTATAGGGTTTTGAATATCGAAAAGTGCATTTCAAGATGAAACTCACTTGAGTGTGCCAAGGACTTTTCCTGGCCACACTTTATCATCTGTGCCTTCTCTTTCTCTAAGAATACCATATAAAGCAGTCCTTACTCCAGGATCTTCGTTTACTAAATCATGGTTTATTTTTTCCACAGGATATCACAGGCTATTTTAGAGTCCGTTTTCAAAAGACCTTAAATGACTTGGCTCCAAATTGGTTTTGTATTAAGGGAAAGAACTGGTGTCCCAGAGTTTCAATCAGCACCTTAACAAATAGGCTACTGACCTCCCGCAGATCGCCCAGAGATTGCCAACAGTGATGGTTAGCCAAGAGACATTTGAGGTTCATTTCTGTTTCTTTTCTTACCCTGTTTGCAATAAAAACAGAATTACAGCTGACAATCTTATGAGAAAGGGTTAGAGGAGAGTGGGCATATGTAAGAGCTATTGCCTTATCCCACATAATTTATAAAAGGTGCAATCAGTTAAATGACCTTTCCCACGACAGTGATTTAACCACCCAAGTTGTCTTTGTTAGTTATAAATCTGCAGCAAAGTCATCATAACATTGCCTAAAACAATACACTAGCCATGCTATACTGGTCATCAGTTAATGTTAAATACAGTAGTGTTTTGTTCATGTATGTTTTCAGGGAAAATGACTCTACATAAATGAGTTTTCCAGACAAACAAAGCTCATCCCATCAAGAACCAAAAAACATCAAAAATTTGAGTCATTGTTGATAAAATTTAAATCTATTTTTTCAGCAATTGCTTAAACAAGGTGCAAGGATCTTTATTTATTTTGTTTATTAATAGCCAATGATATATCAAAAACAATAGCCAATTATCACTTTAAGTATAATACAGTGAAATACCTGATGGGTGACTAGAGAGCCTCAGTTATGTTCCTCTAGCACAAGACTCCTTTAAGCATGGCAGAGTCCTGTCTGTCTGGCTATACGCTGTCACTGCTTGCTACTTTCAGTAGATCTGGTTGCTCTTTACTCGCGTATTTCCTTCCTATCTTCATTAGCTCTACACGAGAAATGACTATAAACCTTATGTAATGAGTGTCATTATTTTCAGCAATTCTCATCCAAAAGGCCCTGAGTAAGGGCCTAAAAGTTATTGCATGTCTTAGATAAGAAGGAAGGGCTCAGAGACAGGTGTTTTCCTTGCTACAGTTTTATTACTTTCTCCTTTGTGATTTTTTGGTAAATTTTGAGAGTCATTCTGATATAAGTGACTGTGTATTATCACATTTTTTAAACCTAATTTTTTGAGAAGTTTTTGCTTTGGGGTGCATACACTCACCAGGGAGAGAAAGAGAGACAGAGACAGTGAGAGGGAATGGCCATATTACAATATCTTCTCCATTCTCCTCCTTGTATGTTGGGCATGCACACACATGTGCCTGGTGATTTTCAAGCCACTAGGTTGGAGACTCAAACTGCACCATGTGGGAGTCCAACAATGTAATGATGATGCCATCTGCTGGTCCCTAAACATAACTCTTTTTTTTTTGGGGGGGGGGGGTTGCTATAGGGCGCGTGCACTTGCCAGACAGACAGAGACAGAAAGCGAGAAATCCCCCCCCCAGGGGGGATGGCCACGCCACAATCCCTTCTCCTCCATTCTCCTCTCGGGATCTGGGGCACACACGCACACGTGCCCGGCGTGAGTTTTAAGCCACTGGGTCCGGGACGCGAACCGCAGTCAACTACATGGGAGTCCAGTGACATAGCCATTACGCTAACTGCTGGTCCTCCCTAAACATAATTCTTTATATCGCTCATTTTTTACTTCTAGTTCCTATGAACTTTCTTACTCATCTCAGAAAGTTTATTTCTAGTTATTATTAAATTACATTTGCTTCAGTTGTCAAAAAGCATTGTATGGTGATGTAAGGGGATAAAACGATCTTTTGGAAGGGGCTTTTGGTAGCCATTTTCCTCCTTCTTCATCTGGATTCCTGATGTGATTTAACTTTCACCTCAATGGTACAATTTGGCATCAAGTGAGAGGAGTGAACATCTGTTAAGGAACAGAAAATAGCCCAATCAAATAGCAATGAGAAAATGTAATTGCTGTAGCAGGCTACTACATAAATAGACACATAGACTGTTTCTTAATTTTATTCCCCTGAGACTAATGACCAACCCTAATGAAAATCCTAGTGGAAATCATTCTTATAAAAATAGCCAAAACATTAAGAATAGGATAAGTGAGAGTGATGATGGCTGATAAACATTTGAACCATCAAATATCCTTACTAATCTAACCACAAAAATAGTTACAGGCTCATGGGCTAAGTACCTAAAAGAAATCTGGAACTATCTTGTACAAACCAATTATTAGAGAAAAAAAATCCACAGTGATCCTCTAGTTCCCTTTACTGTTTTTAATTAAATATAAATATATATGTATAAATGTGTATATATGTATATGTGTGTGTATAAAGTAGGAAAGTCTCAATCTCACTTGATGTTTTGATACTGTGTGACTTTTGGTATGGTTGTATTTTTAGTTCAAGCAACAAACTATAAATTATTCCTCCTAAGCTATTTTTCAAAGTAATTCTGAAGAGAGGCTTCTAGCCCCTTTGATCATCTCCAAATCATCTGTAAATTCATAACAATATTTATACCCCACCTTATTCCATAAGGGTTTGATCTGGCTTATAAAAATAAATAAAAACAATAAAGTGCTTTTTTTAAGTTAAGGAAGTTTAGACAAAAGAAAAAAGAACAAGCAGGAAAAGTCATAAAACTAAGCAGTAAGAGTAGTATACAAAAATGTTGCACAATAGCTCTATAAATTTGATAGAGGTTGGCCACACATCTGGCTAGTGTGTGTAAGATTCGTAGAGGCCATCAAATAAAAACAATGAGATATATTTTCTCCACAGGTCCTATAAAAAGAATGTGATTGACATCCACCAAAAACTGGGTTGAGAGGAGAGACAACAATCTATTACCTTTGACTCTCCCTTTTAATTTCCTTTATTAGAACACAATGGCGCGATACTAAAATGCAATTTACCAAACTCTGTTCTCCAAAGAACTAGAGCTTAGATAGTTTGGCTTGATTCAGGAGTAAAATTTATTATCTAAATGATAATAAATCATTATAATTTACAGCACGGCATTTAGAGACTTTTTCCCAAATACAAATTTTTGTGATTAGGCTTGGTAAGACTGGATAAAAGACGGTTAAAAATTATAGTCTCTTGGGACCAGCAGTTAGCGTAATGGCTATGTCACTGGACTTCCATGTAGTCGACCGCGGTTCGCGTCCTGGATCCGGTGGCTTAAAACTCATGCCGGGTGCGTGTGCATGCATGCCCAAGATCCCGAGAGGAGAACGGAGGAGAAGGGATTGCAGCATGGCCATCCCCCCTGGGGGGGGCTGATTTCTCACTTTCTGTCTCTCTGTCTCTCTCTGTCTAGAGAGTGCACACGCCCTATAGCAAAAACCTCTCCAAAAAATATATATATAGTCTTTTCTTTTATGGGTGGTGGCTAGAGCACCATGAAGGCCTCTGGCATGCTTCAAGACTATAAGGTGGTGGGGCGCTGCCTGCCAACCCCCAAATGCAGCTTGCTGCCCCTCTGCTGCTTGAGCAACTTTGCACCTAACCACGTGGTCACCAAGCCCCACTTCTTGTACTTTGCATCTCAGCTAAAGAAGACGAAGAAGTCCTCAGGGGAGATTGTCTATGTGGGCAGGTGTTCCAGAAGTCCCCAGTACAGGTGAGGAACATGGCATCTGGTTGTGCTACGACTCGCACAGCATTACCCACAACATGTCACCCAGTGTCACCGGGACATGGCCACCTGGCATCGCGCAGGTGTCCACTCCATCCTCATCATGAGGATGGAGGAGATCATGACTGGCAGTCAAGTAGTTCCACCACTCCAAGATCAGATTCCCACTGCCCCACCAGTCCCTTTCTCGTCAGCACAAGCCACACTTCATCACCAACAGACCCAACACCTTCTTCCAGGGGAGGAGCCTCCCACTCTGGTGGCCCAAATAGACTCAGACTAGCTTAAGTGTGTGTGTGTATATATTCTCAAGTCAGAATTCAGAGTGTGGGATATATATACCCAGAGGGCATGTTGGCTCATCAGAGACAGAGAGAAAAGTGAGAAGGCACCCCCCACCCCATCGGGCATGGTCACACTATAATCCCTTCTTCTCTGTATCTCCCTTTTTCAGGATTTGGGGCATGTATGCACATGTGCCTAGAATGTTTTTCAAGCTGCTGGGTCTGGGACTCAAATTGCACAGTTGACCATGTGGGATTCAGTCACCTTAACCACCAAGCCATGGCTGGCCCCAGAGTGTGGATATTCTGTATAACTGAGTAAGGCAGAGAAAAATTGAGAAACTACCCAATGCAAATACTCAAGTACCTTTAGAAATAACCAATATTGTGCCCAACAAAAACTTCCTGAATTTGTTTTGAGATATAAGTGACAGCAAATAAATATAAATAAGACACCAAGTTCTATGATACAAAAGGTGATCATACTAGTTTTTAGTCAGATTTTTAAAAATCTGTATATTACCAACCACTCACTGTAGCTCCACCAAAAAAAAAAAAAAAAGACAGTATAACATCGAAAGGACATTTTAAGTAATATCACCTGCTACTGAATCCTGCAATGTAAATTTGTACCAATTTTTTTTTTTTTTGGAGAGGTTTTTCACTATAGGGCACGTGCGCTCGCGAGACAGACAGAGACATAGAGACAGAAAGCGAGAAATCACCCCCCAGGGGGGGATGGTCACGCTGCAATCCCTTCTCATCCATTCTCCTCTTGGGATCTTGGGCACGCACGTGCATGCGCCCGGCGTGAGTTCTAAGCCACCGGGTCTGGGACGCGAACTGCGGTCGACTACGTGGGAGTCCAGCAACATAGCCATTACGCTAACTGCTGGTTCCCTTTTTTTTTTTTTTTTTGTACCAATATTTTCAGATCAGTCAAACTGCCCAATCAATCTTAGGCCTGTGAGAAATACTGAGTGATTGTTGTTTTAAACCACTGTCTCAAAGTGATTTGTTAGGCAGCAATAGCTAACTGATATAGTGGCTGAGTCTAAGCTATTTCTTTATGTAATGTTTAAAAAAACAGGACTAAGAGCTAGTGAAGTCATTTCTAAAGCTCAATAATATTAGTAGATACTACTTATTACTCTTATTATGGACTATGGAGAGATTCAATTAGGTCATCCAAATGTGGTACTGACTATTACAAAATAAGAAGAAATGAGGGAAAGGATAAAAACATTCTTGTTTTACTTATTTAGAAATAATCATTTAATTGATCAGGAGACTGTTCTTCCAAACACAAA